GTATTTATAACATTTCGTCTTCACCATCATCTTTAACTATTCTTGTAAACCATTATCTATAACTACTCTTCTTGACCATTATCTATAACTATTTTTCTTGACCATTATATATAACTATTCTTGTTAACCATTGTTTATAACTTGTCTTCTTAACTATTATTCTTCTACACCATTATCTATAACTATTCTTATAAACCATTATATCTAACTATTCTTCTTTACCATTATCTATAACTATTCTCTTTAAGGAAGACATTATACATTGAGTGTGTTATATGACGAAGGTACAATGTTTCAAATACATCCACATAGTAACAAATTTCATCGCAGCTTTCGTTGGTGAATAATAACGTGGGTACATATAAAAAAAATCTGTCAAAATCGTTGCCTGTAGAGCTAGTATTCTTGTATGACGGCAGTATAGAGACAAAATACGCGTTTGCGTAGGCCTATAATATTGTCATGTGATTGCAATGTGTACCCCCACATAGCAGCTAATTGCTCCGCAGGGCTGATTTACGGGTTTGTGGGGTTCACAAAATATTATGAAATATATCAAAAATCACAAAATGTGCGTGAAGATAATATAGTCCTACTTGTTAAAACAAGTGTCTTCCCATTATGTATACGCCCACAAATTAGCAAATTCCATTGCAGCCTTAGTTATAATATATATCAAGTATAGTATAGGTATGTGTAGTTGGCTTACCTTCTGTTCGACTTTTTGTGGTAGTTTGAAGGTAGTTCAAACATGCATATCATCGCAAATATGAAATAAAACAAAATAGACTTTTATTGTCATGCTGCATTTTGCAACAGCAGTGTTTGAAAGCGCCATTAGCCTACTCTTTTTGGATTCACATCCTTAAATAGGGAACCAGAATGTACAAAGCCTGCATCATTCGGGGCCTCGACATACTGTCCCATACGATCACGCTCTTTCAATTTAATTCATTTTCCATTGAAAGGGAAGCATATTTAAATTTCAAAAACATTGATCATAATATAACTTGCCTATTGTTAAACAGATTTTCATGACTTTCAATACACAGGATTTCAAAACTAAAATTGAGACTTGATCACCCTGTCAATTTGAAATAAAAATCAATTGAAGTTTAACATCATTTCAATTTTGAGTGGAGCAATAATTATAGTACGAAGTTGTATTTTGCAATTAACGTTGAAAAGTTTTATGAATGGGTGAAATAATAGCAAAAAGGATCAGAACGGTCAGAATGTTTCAAACTAAGTTTTATGTTTTTGAATGAAAAACTTAACATCGTCGATTCAAAACGTGTTTCTTACACATAAACCTGAGAGCGTAAATAAATTTAAAGAAAATGATAATAGATCAATTTAAAAAAGTAAATAAATAAATTGGTATAAAAATAAACACGAGAAAGTACAGAAAGTTTCGGACTATGCTTTGGTGAAATTGACAATATTATTGAACTGAATAAGTATATCAAAATATAGAATGAAAAGAAAAAGGGGCGTAAAATTGGTGTAGATGGAAATCTTAACTCGCTTCAGAAATGTTTTAATTAGCTTACCTTTATTAAGACTGTCTTTATAACATCAATACACAGAATGCTTTCAGATATGATATTCACATCACCTACAGCATCCATCTTGCACGTGCAGTTTGGCTCATCAGAATTTGCATGTTGTCAAAAGGGGGGTAATTTCCATTTTATTGTGGTCCGAGGGAAAGACTAATAATCCGGGTAATAACAAAGCTAACCAACATTGTCGAACAGTACGTATGAACTAAAAGTATAGGTCAAAACATTAAATGAATGGATTCAAATAATATATAGATGTAATAGGCCATATTTGTGCCATTTAAAGAGTTGGCCAAGAAAAGAATGAATGTTGATATTTTTGCAATTAAATTTATTTAATATCAATAATAACAAAGTAAAGAATGACAAGTTGATATTTAGCAATTACATTTATTTAACAATAATGACCTAGTAAGAATGACAAGTTGATATGTTGCAATTACATTTATTTAATATTAATAACCAAGTAAAGAATGACAAGTTGATATTTTCCGATAAAATTTATTTAATAATAATAACCAAGCAAGAATGAAAAGTTGATATGTTGAAATTAACGATAATCCGGAAACCCCGGTATCTGCACGATTTTAACGAAACAGATTATTTAACATGTAAAAGTAACCGTTAATCCGGTTTCCGGTTCCGCACGGCTGTGATTGGGAACCAACTATAGTAATTAAATAATTTAATCATCACGTGTAGGTCATCTTTCGTTCAATCGTACCTGAATATCATTTATCGTCCAGGTATACTTCAATGTCATCTTTCGTTCAGTCATACCTGAATTCTATTATTGCTACGGAAGGCATCAAACCTTAGCCCTACGAAGTTACGGCACGGGAATTTGTGCTTATCAATAATCGAAGTTTTATTCATGATGCCTTGTTGATCGGTGTTTAATAAATCGTTATTTGAGAATATGCGGTTATTTTAATGATCGCGTGTAAACTATCTTTCGTTCAGTAAAGCTTGAATTCAATTTTTCGTTCAGTCATACTCGAATTCCACCATGGCTACGACGATACGGCACGGTAATTTATAATTATAAATATATATTCTAACATGAGCCTACATCAAGAACCTAACGTGAATCTAATCTACATCAAGAATCTAACGTGAACCTAAAGTAGAAAATTTGAAGCAGTCAGAGTTGTTATGATGCTGTATTTTCCAAAGACAATTGTCCCAATGTTATTTCCGTAAATGTAGATTATAAGTATCATGAATTTCTATATTAGGTCCAAGAAGATCTATATGATAACCGTTATGATCTTCTTTGATTTAGTTCATTGCATATTAGCATCACAATTATTGTAAACAAAACTGTAACCCTGTGCCAGTGCCTTATATTGAATAGTAACTTGTTACTCTTCAATCACCCTAATCTCTAAAGTAAACCTATCACAAACCCCAAAATGGGCCTATTAAGACACCTATCACAGCGAATGACCAGTTTTGGAATGTACAGGGGCTTGCTAAAAAGGAGCTAGATATATTTATTAAATAGTAGAAATTGAGTAAAGGTTACATTGGAAACGCCCGCTTGATGCTGGCAGAAAACACTAATGCTAAGCCCAATTCATCATTAGCTCATACATTATATAAAATCAAAGCACCAAATAAGAGGTAAATTATATAAGGATATGAGACGTCTTGACATAATTTTTGCAAACAGAGTATATTCGACAACATTCACAAATACAAGAATTAGTCCAAATCATATATTAAAATTTGGCATCATCATGTTTATAAATGAGGTTCGATCCGTATATCGCCAGCCGTACACAAATACATGGAACGGAAAACATCGCGACTAGTGTACAACCATCATCGCTATCACATCTATCCATAGTACAAGGCAGTCAGCTTCACCCCCAAACAGATGTTTCTCAGGGAAGCTGAGACGGAGATGAATGCTCGCTCACAAGACGTGTTGCTGTCCGTTGCAGGAATTTATGTAGGCTGATGTTGACGATGGACCAGATCGAGTATCATATATAAAGAATCTGATATGATGCCATTATCGATTCTATGTGATTCAATAGTATTCGTGTATTTGTGTAAGCCATTGTTGACGACCGAGTAACATTGAGCAAACTTGGGATTTACGATCTAGTAGCATTTAGCAAACTTGGGATTATATTTGTCAAGAAAAATCATATTTGTTGGGTTTAATCATCTTGGTTTTATAAAATTAATGCACCATTTACAGCCTTTTCATCTAACTTGGCTACCTACAAAATATGAGGGAAACAGTATAACATATACAGAGTAGGTCAAATTTAGTAAACGAAATGGAAACCTTACACACAAAGAAACAATAAATATAGACTAACCCCAATATTAATCCTAAAAGATGAATAATACATGCTGTGAAAAAAAAAATAACCAGATAAACGAACACGGGAATTAGAAAAAAAAATAGATTGTTAAGGTTAATATTAGTACACCACAAACCGTGTAAGACCAAACCAACAACACAGAATCATCCAATTTGAACCAATCCAACTACCAACTACTACGACTACCAACAACTACAATTAAGTATAAATAAAATCCATACTCAAAATCCAATGGAAGAAGTTTGCTGGTCAGCAACCTTAACGAATTATTAAGCCTACCATGACACCTTATGAAAACTTAACACAAATCTAACCCGAGAGATAAAGGAGTGTGGGAAGGTGTAAGGGATAGCTACACCAGAGCTATCTATAGCACATCACCTACGATATCCATCCTGCACAACCGCCACCAGCTATTGGTAATGTCACATTTCGAACCCCATCTTACTCAAACACGCACCTACCTTTTCCATCCATAGACACCTACAAAAGATACAATGCAATCCATAAGAAATAATACACCAAAAAATAAGGCTGAGATATATTGGCTACAGAATATACTAAGTGGTAAGGGTCGGAAATATTACGTGCGGAGGGAGCAAAGAATTGGGACCCATGATAGTTTGGCTACAGAATAAACTAAGAAAAAAGGGCAAGAACATAAATAATCTATCCCCTGAACTTTGAAAAAAGAGAACTTCGAACAAAAATGTTGCAATAAAGACAAAGGATTGAAAACAAAACACAACATCAGCATGTATTTTATTCCGCATCAAGAAAATGATTGAAAACTGTTATAGGCCCCTGTGTATACTGTCCATTCTTACGAACATGTTGAAATAAAATTATTTGAAAAACCATTCTTATGATACTTCAATAAAGATTTCTAATGAGTTTTTTAGTAGTAAAATGCTACCAGATAATCCTTTATCGAAATTGTAGTACTGGAATTCCAGTTTCGAACAAACCGTGAAATTGCCTAATGATAGGCCAAGCACACGGTCGTTTATGAACGTGATCACGTTGGATTGGTCGATTTTGTTACAAAATAAGGACGATTTTACCCGGAAGTAGAGTAAGTAGCATTCAAAACATGGCGTCTTTTTGCGATTTGCTGTCAACTGGATTGATTGGTTTGTCTAATTATTCATTAGGTTACCCGACTTAAGATACAATATTAATGTGGGACCAAGAAATAGGTTAACATTATCAATTTAATGCCAAAAAATATGTATGGACATTTTGTATTGGGCGCAGAATGACGAAGTTTGTAAATAACATTTGACTTGGGACACGCCCCCTTATTCGTCAAGATGCCATGTCAATTAAAAAAAATGATCTAGCACCAGCATAGGCCTACATCTTAGCAGGCAATTCCATGAGTATGTTATCTACTTTGAAAATGATTTTGTTGTTGATTTCTGCGGTAACGTTTTAACCTGGACATTTGATACAATGACTACATGTTGAGAGGAGCATATGCCTACTATAATTTAAACTATGCTGTTTTGGCTATCTGGCAACAGATATAACAAAAAGCCCATTTTACTGTTTTCAGAGAAAGATGAAAGTGGAGATGTTTTATGGACTTGGTCCTACCCATCAGTTAGCAGTCAGCAAAGGGATTTCTTTATTCACAAGTCTGGACTAGAGAAAGATTCTACACATCAAGTTCAGTTTATTTACAGTCGATGGCAACATTCTTGGTTTTACATTCTCAGTACAGCCTTAGATGATGTTGATACACCTTTAGATAAAGTGAGTGTGTGCTGTCACAAAAGATCAAAAGATTCATCCATAGGTCTATTATATTCCACCTTAGGCCTACACTTTTCACATTTCCATAGAATAAGCTTATGTGAGTAATTTGACAACATTGTTGTCATGTTTTTCGCAAAAGCTTTGGATATCCAGCACTCAATCAGAAAAAATAATTTTTTCATCAATAAGGTGATTTGAGTCGTGGCAGTGGCATCGTTGATGATTCAGAATATGTCAACATAAGTTCCCTTATTGAGCCACCCTATGGCAACTTATAAGACAGTTGTAAAATTGTAACTGTTTACTGATATTTTAAGTCCATTAAAACTACAAATTTTGTTTTTATACTATAAAGGTAAACGTAGTGTCACTAGTTTTAGTTACTAAAGACTTTAATCCTGAGAGATATGAAACGTTATGTAAATTATTTTCACAACTATATATACAAACTGGAAATCCAGCTAAAATCTTAGAGAATTACCTGTCAGTTATGACCAGAGGTGTTTGCGTAAATGGAGAAAATGGTAAATTTAGCTTAAAAGAGTTTGATACCAAACAGGCTTATGGTAAAAGCCAAGTCAGAAGTAAGTGGCCTTTATATTATTTATATTAACACTATTTATCTCTTTTAAAGCCCTTGATATAATTCAGAATTATAATCCAGTGTCTGATTCTCATGCATACCTAACTGGAGGGACAAAAATTAAGAACTAAGAACTTATTTATGACAACATAAACTGAAAATAAAAAAAAAAAACTAAGGGCCATATGCAGCGCTCATATTTTACCTAAACTTTGACTAAAGTTATACTTAACTTGAACTTTAGGTATGCACCAGTCGATCTTTACTAAAGTCCTGCTTAAATTTGACTATCAAATGTAGAAAATGAAAGCCTTAATCCTAACTTTGTAGAGTTCGACTTTAGTCAAAGTAAGAGAGCTGCATACGGCCCTAAGTATTCGTTAAAGAATGTTCTTTTCATTTTTAGCTGTGATAGAAACATTTGGTGTAGAAACAATATTAATATATACAGCCTTAATGTTAAAAAAGAGAATAGTAGTTTATGGTCCAGCACATTCCTTAATTGATTTATTAGCATTCACTAGGTGAGCAGCCCCCCTTTCTTAGCATTTATGTTTTTGTTCAAAACACTTTCATATTTTGTAATCAAAACCCAAAGTCAAGTATTGTTCCATATTAGTGCAGAATTTCAAGTACTTTACTAACTTTTCTCACTTAGTTGTTAGTTGAGTGCATAGTTTGATGATATTATACGCTTTAATATTGGTACTGGAAATTGAGACCTTTTCTTGCAGGGCACTACCCTCCTTAGTGTGGCATCGACAGAACTGGGAAATACTTTACCCCTTTTTAGAATTAAGAGATGAAGAAATAAATTTTATCAAGTCTTCTAGTCATTATATTGCTGGCTTTGTAGAAGCTTCTGTTGAGGGAAGGTAAATATATTTTTTTTTATTTTTTAAATAAATGTCCTTTCTCATTTTATCCTACACATTCAGCTGGTAGAGTCAATGACAATGTTATGAAATAAAGTAATGTTTCACTTCTATATTTTCTGTACCTTATTGGGTTACTGATGATGGGCAACTCCATACAGTGGTCAATGAGAGAAACTTTGTCAGAACAGTGGCATTAGACTTGTCTGTTTTGATTTCCAATTATTGATGGTTCTTGTAATGTGCACAGTCAAGATTTATTGTCCCATCTGACACTTTTTTTGAATTGAGACTCTCATATCTATTTCACTGACAGAGTGTTTTCTTATTTTGTAGAAATGATCTATATGATGTATTTGTAAATATGAGTTCTGGTCAAATTACTGTTGCTCCACAAGCAAAAGGTAGCATTTTAAAATTTTGTGGGCAGAAATCACATAACTTTAAGTGAAATTGAGAGGGAAAAAAGTTTCATGCTAATTTTTATGATTTATTCAAAATTACTAGTGAAAATAAAGAAATGCATGGTTTCTAAGTTATTTGTAAAAACTGACATATATATTATTACAGAGGCTCTAGCTATGGGTAAATTACATAAAGACATTGCTATGGTAATGGTCAAATCTACAGAAGATGACAATAATACAAATCAAGATATTATAAAGGTAAGTAATAGGTTCATATTCTTTAAATTTTCGATTGTGATCATATACATGGATAAAAGCATAGTCATTGTATATATTTAGACAAGGATGTTTTGTATTTAGCAATCAATCTTTTTCTTTAGATATCATGTGATATAAGGTTATGCTATGACAGTAATACTACCATATCAAATTCGGGGAAACCTGGATGGCTATTTATGTTACTTAATTAACTGACCAAATGCCATCCCAGTCAGATGATAAAATGCCTTTTAAAAAAATACCTGCCAAGTGACCAGTGACCAACAAATCAACTTAAAATTTCTCCCTTTATTTTTCAGGAGATTGCTAATAAAACTAAAGAGTTATTAAACAATTTAAAATCATTGTGTATTGAAGACGAAGAACACAAATCTTATATCACATTAGAAAGTTTACGTGAAAGAAAAATGCCTCCTGCTACAGAAAACTTTTTATTTAGTTTAGCAGCTTGTGAAGGCATGGTTAAATTATAGTGTATCAAGTCCTAAATTCCACTATATAAATCTGAACTGGTATTTTATATTATGAACTTGTAAAAATTATGGTTAAACTATAGTGTAAATTGAATTTAGAAATGAGCTGAAAAAATTGATAGGACAGAGCCTTAGAACATCAACTGGGGAACTGAACAATTCTACTTGCCCCACTGACCTAGGCTTCAATATCAAGTTATTGTATTTAATGTATATATCTGTTATTAAATAATATTGTTAAATTGTAGCATTATTTTTCCTAAAGGGATTGTAAAGAGCAAATGGAAACATAACTACTATGCTATCAGGGACACTGATGTATCAATTTGTACCATTGCAATTTTCAGTTAGACGTTCGAGGTTAAGGCAATTCCCTAAAAAGTAATCATTTGATGACGTCGCACATCACCAAATATGCTTGTATCACAAAGGCACTTCGTGATATCACTTAGTTTAAGTGTAATTGCAGGAGCAGCAGACTTCTGATTGAATATAAGAATAATGAAAATTGATGCCTCTGTGTCCCCGATAGCATAGTAATGTCCTCCTTACCTTATTGCAATCCCTTTTAAAGTGACTTCCTATATGGCAAATTTTTAATGCAAAATCATGGAATGGCATGTGTAATGCTGCCTTTTGACCATCAGCTTTTGACTGTTTTTAATATAAACTTCATACATGTATAAATTTGTATTATTTTGCATTGAGATGTAGACGCTTTGTGCTTGGTTCATTTGATGACTATTAAGTGAAGTTTCTTCAAAGGTTGTGGTATGTAATATTTTTTGGTATTTTATATACCAGTCTTGATGGGGAAGTGAGTTATCTTTTCAAGGTATACATTTGAATTTTGCCCACGTTAAATCTACCTGGGATAACTAAAGGGACAGTGCACTCTTCACAAGTAAGCATGTTAAGCTTACCAAAGGCGCAGAGTGAATTGCCCCTCCGAAAAAGAAGATGGTTAAAAGCAATAAAATATATATTTGAGATATTCAGATCAATACTTTATTACATTTCTTCAAAATTTATTACATATTGTTAATAATGTGAACTCTCCAAAATAGATGCCGAATTAAATAATTAAAACCAGTTGCAAATGGGTTATATTCCAGAATATATACACATCACATTTAGCTTTCATTATAAGCCCCTTTGATGTGTGTTTTGATTACGTCATACATAGAGAAAAGCTGGACATTGTAGTGTTTGGAAACTGTGTTTGAAGTGTTTTACAACTCTGAAATAATTTTAGCAAAAACTTCTGTAAATCCAAAATTGCCCAAAGTCTCATCAATCTACAAAGTTCCATTGAAAGTGACATAAAACTCTTAGATATCAATAGGAAAAGGTGATAACAAACTCATAATCCGTTCATTGTGAATTTTCACCATTGGGAGATATCATTAAGACACAGAGACCTTTTAAAAACAGATGTAAATTTTAGATTCTTTTCTGAAAAAGACATTTTTGACATAAAGCAGCAAATGTCTGCGACTACAACTTATTACAACAGGTTACATTACTTACAGTCTGTATCGAAATAACCAAAAAAGTAAAATTTATATATGTTCCAGGCATATATTACATTTCTGTTTCACCTGTACAATAGATTTTTTTGTTGTTATTTTGATAACCTCATGTTAATTATATTTGTATGTATTCAGTTATAGTATTTACAGTTACTGTTAAAATGCAAAAGGGAAACAAAAGCTAAATGTTGTCAATCTTGCTGATTTTAGTCTACACCATCTACAAATGTTGGAACATGTCACTTGCGCAGGTGTAGGAGAAATTGTAACCGAAGTTGTTTGGGAAGTTATAGGTGATGTTGTAGGGGAGGTTGCTGGTGATGTTGTAGGGGAAGTTGTTGGTGATATCGAAGGAGAGGTTGTTGGTGATAAGATACGGACAGTTGTTGGTGATGCTGTAGGTGAGGTTGTTTGTGATGTTGTAGGGGACGTAGATGGTGATATTGTCGGAGAAGTTGATGGTGATATTGTCGGAGAAGTTGTTGGTGATATTGTCGGAGAAGTTGTTGGTGATGTTGTCGGAGAAGTTGTTTGTGATATAATAGGTAAGGTTGTTGGTGATGCTGTAGGCGAGGTTGTCTGTGATGTTGTTGGGGAAGTCGATGGTGATGTTGTCGGGGAAGTCAATGGTGATGTTATGGCTGATGCAAGAGGTGAGGTTGCTGGGGATGTTGTCGGAGAGTTTACTGGAGATGTTGTTGGTGAACAGGTTTCACAACAATCAGTGAATTGTGCTGTACTGTAAGTTGAACAATCAGCTGAATTGCAGGAGGCCACAGGACTATCGCCTTGGGGGCAATCGACTACAAAGGAAAACCAACGTAACATGTATGTTTGTGTACATCATGGGTTAAAAGGGCATAAGAATCCATGACATCAAACGGAAACTAAAAATTTGAGAAGCATGAACAAAAAACATATAAAATTGTTTGTTGGGTCTTGTTAAGTCTACATTCTTATTTTCAAAAGAGGTGCAGTGATGGAAAACATCGCACACATTGATATGACATATGTGATGCACACTGAAATGAGGTAATATTAGTTGTGCGGATACTTACTTGCTGTTTGCGGTGCAGAAGCAGCAGCTACACACTCACCCTTTTCACACCACTGAAAAATACATCAAATCATGTCAGTCATTAACGACTCCATACACAGAAACAATGATTTCATTTACAGAATCCATGAGGCAAAGCCTGGCATGTGTTCGCATTTAAAAAGTCGGAACTGATAACTTCACAAATAGCAGTTATGTTAGATTTAATGATACTATAACAAGCAGCGAAATGGTCATGTATTAACCACGAATGACCATCCACGTTTCCCTCAAAAAGTTGTAGCTTTATTGGTTATCGAAAAATCAATGATCAATTTCAATCCGATCCGAGATTTTATCAATCTCAATGATCAAATCTCATCAGAATCGATCGAAAACTCGAACTCATCCGAGATTTATCTAATTGATTTAGAAGGGGCAGTTATGAATTGTATTCATTGGTGGTTATTGGATTGTCTAAAGGCAATCATTGCATACAGAATAAAATAAATTAAAAACGCTTACCTGTCCACTGCCACAAGAAGTAAAATCCATGGATCCGATGTATTCACAGTCTGCATTTTGTGGATTGTAACAATACAATCTGTTACACATTGATGGAAATCCCAATTCTGTCCTTTGTCTGTTCTGCAATAACAAGAGAACAAGTTATACTTAGATTCATTATCGTCAAAGAAATGGATCCATCAAATTTGTGCAATCGAAATTTGAATCTAATATAAAACAAAGTCATTTAAAATTCCTACCCATATTTACAAGTTTCATGTTACAAAATTTTACGTCTGAAAATTAAATCATATGCTGCCAACCAGGGAAAAACACTCAACTTTAGATCGATTCCACACAGCACTTAACAGTATAATCAGACCGTGAGATATGCTATTGCCTGAGAAGGTGCAAGTACTAATACTGACTTATTGGGGTTTTAGTTCGAAAGTGTGCCGAAACTAAAACAAAATCTAATAAAAGATAATCTGAATGTTGGCCCACATTTTAGTAATGGAATATAATCAAAAATAAATAAAAATATTGTTACTTACTCTACAGAAATAAGAACTAGATGAGGAGAAAGCTAAACGACACTGTTCATCGGCATCAATATATTGACCAGCTACTTCAGTTGTTGATGGTGATGTTATACCGTTATCATCAGTTGTCAAACATTGATTCCTGTTCAAATCAAAGAATGAAGATTGAACTTGGAGCAGAGAACACTAAATCTATTATGAGTTGGCTTATGTTAAGCAAATGTTATCTTCCTGCATGGTGGTTCAGGCAGTCCCTATGGTAGTTGAGTCACTGTTATGCATAAGACGAACTTGCGTCTATGGTATTGGCATTGATAAATAATAATGGCCAATTGGATCACACTTACGTTTGTTCAGTATAGTATACTATATACACAGATGAACAGTATGAGAAGAACCAGGGGTTAGATCCCTGAGTACCAATTGGAATGAATGCAAATGCCGCCATTACATAGTAGTCATTATTTGAACATTCTCGAAAATCACCGTCATGATATGCTGCTAAGCTGAAAAAGGACATATTTCAGTATTGTATAAATGCAACATTCAATAAGGACACATGATGCAAATGACTTGATTTATAAGAGACAAAGAATGCTTAAAGGGATCGTGTTACGGTAGATTGCAGACCTAATGCTAAGGCTATTGCTACTACTGACTAGTTAATCGCATATTTAAAAAAGGTCATACAGCTTCTCTGAGTAGAAGCCCCACTGTGTTAACGGAGAAACATGATAGATGCATATATCTCTTCTAATATAGTAGATTGAGATAGTCAAGAAACATTTATTATTGAGTCATTCTGATATCAGATATCTTTTTGATTTGGCATACCTGTGACCTAGTTCATGGGTAGCAGTAGAGGTTGTTCCACCAGAATAAAAGTCTTCAACAATCGACGTTCCTAAATTTCTACACACACCATTTAACCATGCTACGCCTTGAATGATAAATCGTGATCATATAAGCAACGCGTACATTTCGAATTGGCAACTTTCCAAGTCAATATCCCCAGAAAAAAAGTATTAGACTGAATATATGAGCAAGTTAAAATGAGTTTGTTAAAAGAAATCCCTGTCTCCTTTTGTACACCGATGTATCAAATACCATTTTAAAGTTATAATTATATAGTTTTGTATACATGAGTAATACTTGATTTATTAACTTCATTTCTTAGGACTTCATTTTTTTAAAAATAGTCTGATTTTCAAAATTTCAAAGTAAATCGGTGCATCCTTCCACTTAAAAATTAGCCTATTTGAAATTGTTATGAATATATATACACTGAAGGAAATCTTACCAATTACTGATGTAGATGTGCCGGATGCCAACTGATCACTGAAAACAAAATAATATAAAAATATTTGAATATTGTTATTTACATAGAAACATGACCATGTATATATCTATAACATGCTTAAATCAAAGGCATTATTGATCTTCAAGAGACAAAAATGTCAATGAGGAACTGGAGATCGTACTAGAGATATGTTATGGTGTGCACTGGTTAACAACCATTACATTTGTCAGTCTCTAATTGATAAACCCGAAGGGTAAAAATTGTGAGCCTATTGCAGCATTATTAATAACGTCTTCACAAATTTGGAAAAGGCAAAAACACAACAAGATAACAATGAATTGAAGTCTTACTTTGTAAACCACATAGCATGATCGTGTTTGGGTAAAGTGTCTTTGTTGAGGTTAACCCAATCAGTGAATGCATCTAAAGCTGGATCAAATTGTACCAAACCATTATTTTGATTATCTCTGTAGAACGGTACGTCGTTTATCGTCTGGATATATATAATATGTGACATTATTGGATAATAGCGAAAGCTACCAGATTCAATTTGTCGGAAGCAATGAGAGATAGGGGTACTATATAAGTAAAGGTCGTACACCTTTCTATGGGTCTTTCCTTATTTCATCTTGTTGTCAATGAAATATTTATTATGATTTAATCTGTAATGCATCATTGTACATTGTTTTCATTAGTTGCAGAAAAGAAAGCCATTTAATTTCCCAATCATATGACTGAAACTCTCTCTGGTGCTTATTTTTTACGTTTACGTGACTCTAGTATACTTACTGCAGGTATAACAATGCCGCTACCTTCTACAACATACGATACATCAGGATAAAACAGAGATATACTTTGGTATCTTTCAGTCATCTTAAAAAAAGAAAACACATAGTTATGAATAATATGGTACAACTTGTTTGCTCGTTACTGCCAAGCTACCAGGTTGTCAATTAGCATAGTGTTTAAAAGAACCGAGTCAAGGGTCGAGTGGTTTTTTTCACTAGTTGTCTTAGTAAGAATCACAGAAACCTTCCTCCACAAAAGTTTTCTATAGTTTTTGGACTTACCCCAAGAATTATTAATGCATAATATGTCTTTAATTCAGCATCAGCTATGGCTAGATCACCGTTTCTAGCAATAAACCTGAAATAATTATATACCATACAGAAATACTACCAAGGTAATATTACTAAACGGATGTCACTAGGCAGATACAGTGACATCACAGGAGACACCCGATATAACACTTATGATTGTGGAGCGAGGATTAAAGGTGTGGACCTAGGCGCTTAAAGCTAATTTATAGGTTGCAGAATAATCTAAGTGACAGTCCTGTCCACCAGCAAAGTCATCGACCCATTGGTTTGTATAACATACACTAAAAAAAAGTATATTATCCTTGTGGAATAAAAAATGATGGCTAATTGGCAAACTAAACCGCAGAGTGGAATTAGTTGTTAGCATGTTCTGTCTCACTGCTGTCATCTCATACAAAATATATTTAAATACAGTTCATCTCGGTATATGTTTGGACTAATATAATTCCTTGAAGGAGATCACTTACTTGTTTCTAACAGATGTATCAGTAATTATCAACAGTTCAGTGACATATTGAGTCACCTGTCTTTTACTTCGGTTTCTACGTCCTTTCCTTAATCTACGAGCAGCCTTACGGACAGAGATCTTGGGCTTTAGATTATTAGATTTATCTGCATTTCGATAATCTTTTCCATAGCTAATAGGTCCAACTGCAAACAGATTATGGCGTCCTCCACCGAGAGATGTGACTTGAAGATTTTGGTTGTTTACAACCACTTCTCCTTCCTAAAAAATAATTTTTGAAAATCAATACCTTATTGGCTATGTGGATTCTCTGAAAAAGTGGCCGAGTGGCATGAGCTACCATAAATGCCAAGTTGATAAATTCAAAAAATAATCTACATGTTGCCATGGATGTCATGCTGGGCATAAGTGTTTATATAAAACAAGCTAAAATATATGCTGAGTTGCGTATTGCGCCATCTTGGCGTTGCCTTTGAAAATCCTGAAAAACGGCCATGCATGTAATAACCATGTTGACGCCTTTATGCTCCATGTGGTCGATATCATCTCAATGTAAATCCAACTTTACAAATGCTTTCTCCATACAAATAATAAAGTACCCGTTTTATTTAACTGTGTGATTCTTCCAATGTGAAAAAGCCATTGAAAGCACATAACACGGAATGTAATGTAATGGATTAAAACATAAATGTCTTACCACATCATAATAACCACCTTTCTCTGATACCATAACAGCTTTTCCTGTATCATAACTTATATACACACCATGTTTCTACAAAATCGATTATTGATAACTGTTTTGGCGAAAGCAATAGCACTTTTTGATATAATTTTAAAAGAAAATTGCTCAGAACGTATTCATCTTCAGTGCGCAGAACATCTTGCTGCGGTGATTTAAGTTTGATCAATAAGTTTTTTTTATTACTTTCAATATATATAGAAATTTAGTCATACCTGGTAGTCGGGTATATATACCCTTTCAACGGTACCATTTGTTAGCATATAAGTAGGTATATCCAATTTCGGTGCCCTTTTTAAACGTAATTTGATATCCGTTTTGTGCGACTTGATGTCAAAGAACATTGTATGAGGCATCTGAGTTGATCTTTTCGATCTGGAAACCGGTCCATCGTGGCTAATGTAAACCGTATCTGTAACAATACAAACATACAACCCAAGCTTAACACCCATAGTAAGATGTGAAAGATATTGACAACATTACCTTCCAAATATGAATATACAGTTTTAATCATACGAAGTATCGAGCAGAAGGGACATTGGCATTATTCTGTAATCAGATTGATCCAACACCCCGCAATCTGATTCTAATCTCGCTATTACGTTTGCAATGATTGTATAGTATGAAAAACAGTCGGCGGCGGTTGAGATCCGTCATATTATCGTAATATAAATTGTTATATCGTCAGAATTCACTTACCGTAGTGGACATCTTCCGTCCTTTCAGTAACAGCTTGTCTTCCCTGAACTGTAACATGTAGTGTGGCAACACTCATAAGAAATATCTGTAATTATAACAGAATAATCACAAAATTTGTATACATAACAATAACTAACAGCAGCTTATGTTAATAATATTGAGATTCATCTTTCGAAATATATATTTTAATAGGAGCATGTTATTTTGACGGTTATACTGCAATAAAAACCTACCTTTATTCCGAACATCATGTTGACTTGAGAGTCGATCAGCTTTGTTTGTCAAATCCAAAACTGATTCTACAATAGCCAATGTACACTGAAGGTATTATATACCTAATTTTGGGATCTTATCTGATTTAGATAATTCTCTTTTGCATCAACAAAGCCAAAGATCCTCTGATACAATCAATGCAATGTAAATAAAAAAAATAAATACTTAAATTTCTATCAATAATTCATCAAAAGTAGCTTACCATAGCATATTAAAGAGATATTTTATCATTTTTCCTGACCCTCAGATCCGACTATTAGATAAGTTGATAAATCGAATAATAGGTCAATAATTGGTCGAGCAAATAATTTGGCTAGCGGCATTTTATGCATTGAAATAATCAAACATAAATAAACATCATTATAAATTTGGACTGGCCAAAAACGGTATCAATTCGACGAAATCAGTTCTAGAAAAATTGTTGTATACTTAGAATCCTACGGCTCATTTCGTTGTTTTCGATGTTCCACCCTTATGCATTTTCTTATTATAATTGAATACCACTTCATATTTCTGGAGAAACAGCCATCGTTCTGGTGTTTAGTAGTAGTTATGTCCCTTTTCATGGCATTTGACAATTATCAACGGTGACAAACTATAATGGATAAAAAATCAGTGATAAAAACATGGGACAATTTTCTAGGTAAATAATCTTGCGACAGCATAAACTACCCTTAACAATAGAATAACCTTATCTTTTCTAACCTTTTCTAAGCCCAACTGTAAAAGATCAGTGGCGTTTCTATAAAGCAATATGGAAGGGGGCGAGTGGGGACCACATAATTGTCGAGGGAGGCCAATAGCACCAGGCATATAAGAATTCAATGGTTTAAACTTTGGGGTGGGGGCGGAAGCCAAATTTCTGTCCCCCATAGAAACACCACTGATAAAAACACCTGGTATTGCAAATCGAATAAGTAAATCGGAGCAGTTAAGAAACGGTAAATACAGAAGCAAAGAAGAAACCCATATCATAGACGATATTCCGTGTTGAATAGAGCAGTATCTCGAACTCTTTTCAGAAGAAGCCAATGGTTTTTTTAACATGAATATCTGTCTAATTCCTAGTGTGCCGCATAGCTAGCCAGCTAGGGTAGCCTTGATTTACAGCGAAACAGAACTGATATCTATATTTGACAAGCGGTTTTGAAAAATAGTTTTGCGCTGAAAAAAATTACATCAAAACTAGTGACTGATCACTGTCTTGGTTTCTTGGATTTTTGGTTCCAATTGTACTTGAAATAAATCAATACATGTATATAATTTGGAAAGAAATAAAAGTGCTCATCAATCGAAAATGTGTAAAATGATGTCTTTTTCATTTCTTGTTCTCTCTAAGATGGGCCAAACCAAAATGCAGAAAGTTCATGTTCTTAAAAGGTGTCTCATGTCGACTATAAAACTGGATCAATTTTCTAGCTTTAATGGGGAGAATTTATTGCAATTCGCAGTCTTGACGAGCACTGATCTGAATATTGTTTCAATTTGTCACGATCCATGCCCAGTTTTAACAACATTCTTCCCATTAATTGGAAAACCGGAATAGACATTCCGTGTTCTTTAATCGCCACAATTTGTACAAGTTGACTGCCAACTTTGAAGTATTTATTGTTCTCCAGCCATCTATCGTGTTATAAGACAGTTCGATATTGAATTACTTCCGCCCCATTTCACACAACTCGTCTGTGATGTTTGCAATTATGTTTATCCTTGCAGAATAGTTTCAATTGCTTCTTTTTTCTTGCAATTGGACGGATTAGATATCTTGGTACAATGGCTTGATTCTCCTAAAAATACCAATTTATAACCTATTGTCGACTATCCGATTGTGATAGCTAAGTGCATTGACAAGCCCATTTCAAAGTGCTTGTTAAACGTGAGTTTGTACTGCCCTGCAACTGACTGTCACCCAAATACATAAAGTGCCCTCACACCTATGCGGTAAGTGTACATTAGATAAAAAAAAATATTCTCGTGTCAAGCCCAAGTTCGTTATTTGCAAAGGATTCGGTCTTTGATGTAAAAGAAAATCAAATGACACCAGCAGCAAAACTTAAAAATTATCAGGGAAACAAAAATTGTGTTAAATAATTGTAATTCAAAAGCTAAAATGTGAATGAATAGAGTTCAATGAACTGATAGACTTTGTAACAAGAATTCTGATTGCACATTTATCCCGGTAGCATTCAATCAGAGATGGGGTTTTAAATATCTTTGAAGTCACGCAAAGTGATTTCAAAACATTAAAGATGGATTTCGTCTTACAGATGATAACAAAATTGTTACGAAGGGTCAGAGTAATTATTGATTAAAGGGGCATTCTGCTTTATTGTTAAATATGTGCATTATCAAAAACTGCGTAAATTATAAGGGAGAATATTTCTCAAGTGTGCTATTTAATTCGATGTATCTACTAGATCAAACTGAAATTGTTTTCAAAGAGAGACATTTTCTAGATTTTGGTGTATAGTTTAACAAGTTTGAGCACAAAAAAAATTCGACCTAAAAAAGAAGTCGAATGTCCATTTAAGATAGCATTTTCTGTTTTCTACAAAACCTCAAATAAGACAATGTCCTATATAACAAATCTTTGCAAACAACGTTTAATCATGAATGGCTTTTATTGTTATTGTACATTGTAGATGATAGTGTCTTTTCTCCTTAAGGTTAAGGTTGTATCAAGTAAATCTTCGAGTTATTGTCCTTGGATCAGTTGAATTACGTGAAGATTGTTTGGTGATCACAATATATACGTAAGTTGTGTCTGGATTTATATTGTCTTATGTATTTAACAATTATTTGACTAACTGCTATTTTCTTCAGACGAGAAAGCATTTGAAAAGAGACGTGTGTCATGCAAACAAATCTGCCAATTTGGGATTTAAAATGAACATGTAGTGGCTGTATTTATTACTCCATACATTTTGACACTAAGTATTGTTTGGTGTTCAATGTATCCTTAATGTTCTTCACTGACTCAATAAACTTGAACTGCTTCTTTCAAATTGGGTTACTTTTCATTAAAGCGATGTAACGAACCTTTAATCTTTTCTCTTACTACAGTCAATAGCCCTAGAAAATTCTTCATTGATTTTCTTCATTCATCTTTAGCCTCTGAAATTAAACACACACTTCTTCGATGTTGGTCACTTTCTTCTCTCCGAAATTTCTTGTGATCATTATTAAGAAAAGGCAGCACAAATTCCACTCTTTATACTCACGAGGGATGGTAATTCTGCTTTTTGCCTTTTCTCTATTTGAGTAATTTAGCTGAATCAATATTTTTTGTGTGATAAAGGGTTAAATTTGTCTCGTTAAGAAGAATAGTTACTAATGACTTTGCTGGAGGAATATAAAGGTACCATTTTAATATCAACGTGCACTCTTTTACAATTCACTTATTTTTATTCCTACAAGGTTGACTTCTTGTAATCGAAAAATAACAAATTAATAATGGAACTAGAGATCACTAACAAACGGATAGCCATTATTATTGCTGATGTTCAGAGATCAGGGATTTTGTCATATCGGATATTAGGCTGTGATTTAAAAGTAATTTAATGTCATTCAAATGTGTTGAGCCATTGAAAGGACATTCAACCGAGACTATGTAGAAAAGACTCATAAAGTACCAGGGGATGGATACGCGCCACCCTCAATATGATCGGTTTCACCAAGTGGTCCTTAAATGACATTTCAATATATAGTCAGTGATCTGTTTAACATTGTAAATTTCAACATGAAGCCCCGAGTGTGTAGTAAGATCCATTGATAGTTGAAAATCGAAAGTCTGAAAAGTAATCTGGTCTACTGAATAAAAGATATAATTGTTCGCTCACGAACTGGAAGTAGAAATTCAATTTAGACAATTGGAATGGTCACCTGACAAAACGTAAAGGCGAATAATACTGGAGGATCACATCTTCTTAAAGAACGGTGGTGATATTTTTGTCTCGGCACATGGATTGACAATCGACGAATATATACGCATACCAGGCCCAATCAGATACATTTATTTTATTGCTTTACAGGGCTGTTGCGATTCTTGTTTAGATTGAGATCACCAGGAACTAAGCTATATGATTACTTCGGTAATTTGTCCATTTGAATATTAAATGACAAACAGAGGATAGATGAAGCACATAAAGTAAACATTATTGAAATATCACCACACAGCAAGGTCAACATTAATCTCATCAACCTCAACTGGAAAGTGGTCAATTTATTGTCAATTCACTGACTCAATTGTCCATGAACTATTAGTAGGAAATCAAACTGTGAAATTAGATCAGTAAAGATCAATAAGATAAATGAATGAAATCAGGCAGTCAATAAAAGAATGAATGATATTTTCTTTACAAAAGATATCTCCAGTTGAAGCCATATATGTGTTGTTCAAGTTAAATACATAACTTTCATAATAAGCACAGCAAGACTATAATCATATTTTAGTTTAGTTAAGTTATTTATCAGAATAAAATGAAGTATATAGGATGAAAATTTAATAATATAATCAAAGAAAGTAATAATATACAGTGAAAACTGTGAAGAGTGCACCCCCGTACATCGCCTTCTCTCGCATATTGACCAAAAACAACAGTAACAAGAAAAGTACTATACGATTCATTCACATCTTAATCTGAAAACTATACCATTATACCGATCGGGCTTTAGATATTCTGCTGTAACATGGCATTTATGAAACATAAAAATTGTCGTGTTTCGCCATATTGGAATCGTGTTCCAAATGTCATTTCATCTTATTTCTAGTGTGGAAAAACATAAATGCGTATTCAGAAAATTGTGCTCAAGTTAGACGACGTCGATTCAACTGCGTATTAGAAAATATCATGAATAAATTGATGAAGCCTTAAATGACTTCATAATCTGATGTACTGCAAGTTATATTTCGATGCGATTTTGTGATTGACAGAACCGGAATTCAGCAAGCAAATACTTGTAGGTCATTTCAACCTCA